CTTTTGTCGTCGCATAAGGACACCGTTTTTAATTAAAATTGTATAAGGTTTAATATTTGTTACTTAACTAAATTTTTATTATAATTTTAAAATATTTTAACGTTTATTTTATAACAAGTGTTTTATTATAAACACAACACTGGCAATACTCCAGTCATTTAATGCAACGACTTTGTGTCTGCTGCGCGCGATGGCTGGAGCTTTTGTCGTCGCATAAGGACACCGTTTTTAATTAAAATTGTATAAGGTTTAATATTTGTTACTTAACTAAATTTTTGATAATAAATTTAAAACGTGTAAACAATATTTTAACGGGTAACCAGAAAAGTTTTATAAAAAGTGTATTATATCAAATTTATCACTATTTGTTCGACTTTTAACTAGCGTAGTCAAAAGTATGAAGAAAAACTTTCACCAATTTCTTTCACCTCATTATTGGTTACGACGATTTTGCACTTGCAAATTATGCAATAATTCGATCGAATAGCATAGGATATCTCTTGGAAGATCTGCGTAAATTTAGCGATGAGCAAGTCTGTGACAAACTTATTCAATAAACATATCATTGTCGTTTTATAATTATAATTATCTTATTAGGTGTAGACATCAAATTATCTTGTTGGAGCAAAAGCACAAGAAATAACGGAGAATCCTGCAGATAGTCCCTCAACGCAAAGACGGTGTTCGTAGCAATGTTACTAAGTATACGATGGCATGCTATTGGTGTCTGTGTCAATGTTTCACATTCTGCTTTGTCTTCAATAAACACGGAAAAGTCTAAATACGCTTATCTGAATAAAATCGATGTTACACTGTATTTGTTTATAGATTAAAACTCACGTCTTTTTTCTATTTTCAGTTATATGCTTCAGCGATAATCAGTGCAAGCGCAGTCATGGTACCGACACAGGGATTGTAACTAGTAACCATACAACGCAACATTAATATTGTTTTGAAATTTTCGATTATCATATAACTAGGCGGAATTTGATGATGGTTTGGCATGACATATTATGTCTACCCAAATGAAGGCTGTGAGATAGCAATATTCTTACTATTTTCAGTCACTGAAATTACGGAAAGTCTCAGCAATGCGGATCGTTGGGATGACGCACTTAACGCTTTTGACGAATATTATAGAATGGGCATTGCGTTTGATTCGATGAAACCATTAGTTGGGTCCTGAAGCATTTATTCACTTTATTGTTTTATACATTATTATTTTTACGAAATTTATTATTATGTTGAGTTATCAATAAAGCTTTTTAATTTCACCCGTAAGGCTCAACAACTTTTTATATGCCAAACCATTCAACAATAGCAATAGACTAGACAAACATATATATATACTAACAACCTCTGTAATTGATGCTCATATGTTTATCATAATAATTATCTGTATTGAATTTGTTAGGTATCAGCAGCCGCTTTGTGAATTACGATTCAATTGATTGACAAGTTGTTGCGCCGTCGCACCTTCTTTATCGGCCGCATGTTGATATAACAAACACACTCTTTTATGATGACCATCATGACGCAAACAGAGGGTTAATTGCGCATCTACATTTCCTTGTCGCGCTGCTTGCACCAAGTATTTCTCTGCTTCTTGGTAGCAGCGCAGTACTCCAATTTGACCCAAATAACAAATCCCCAAACTGTATTGTGCTTTGGCACACTTCCGGTCGGCTGCCCTCCGAAATAGCTCAACGGCGATCTGATAGCTCCCGATATGGAGGTAACACAATCCCAACCTATACAACGCTTTTGGGTGTGACTGCCGCGCCGCCTGCCGATATAAGTCTAATGTTTTTTAAACTGTTTTTTCCTACTGCAGTACCGCTTCTATAGCAGCGCGCAAGTCTGTACTGGCCCGAAGCGTGTCCCTGATTAACTGCATTTGCATACAATTCAACAGCTCTTACGTCATTCTTTCCCGTCCCAACCCCCAACTCAAAACATCTGCCGAGATCGACCTGTGCAGGCGCGTATCCCTGCTCGGCCGATTTCTTAAACTCAATAAATGCTTGCAAAATGTCTTGTTCAATAATATCACCGTTTTGGTAAAACACACCAAGGTAATATTGCGCTCTCATCTCTCCTCTCTCAGCAGCTTGTTGACAAATTTCGATTGCTTTCGAGACATCCGATTCTACTCCAAGTCCATAATAGTAACAAACGAATAGATTAAATTTTGCAATAGGCAGACCGTTTTCTGCTGCTTTCTGGTAAAGCTCGAACGCCCTTTTATAGTTCTTTTCCACCCCGGCTCCTTCATAATAGCACCCCGCTAAGTTGTATTGCGCCAAAGTGTGTCCCTTGGCAGAGGCCTTTTCGTAAAATTCAGCAGCTTTTCGATCGTCTCGCTCTATGTATCTTCCTGTTTTAAAACAGTTACCCAAGACATATAGAGTTTCCGTATTTTCCCTTTCAATGACTTTGACGTACAAATCAATCTCTTCCATAGTAGCTTTGTATTAGGTGAGCTTTTTGTATGCGTGTAGATATTACGTGTACCGTTGAGTGAGTGATTTTCGTGATTCTTCCAATGAGTTGAAATGAGTGATCGGGGGAAACTGCGTATTAAATATATAATTATCAACGATCTGACTATACGCTACTTCAGTTTTATCGGTGAATTTTTTATCAGAACTAAAAGTATTACGTATGATGAGGCGTTAATATTAATAATTATATTTATATTTATTAATACACGTGAGTTAATTGCATATCTTAACACGATTGGTTAAATGGGCGTTATCTTGTTGTCCTATTATGACTAATAGTGTGGTATGCATTATACTCTGAGTAATCAATAAGTTTTAAATATGATTTATCGAAGAAGCACCTGATATCTAAAGCAGCTGCACGACGGAACGATTTATGGTGCCAAAATTACAATCAGTCTGTCATAGTTATTGGACCCTACTATACATCAAAAGACAATATAGTACGTCAAACTGCAAATTTTATTTTATTAATCATCGCGAGGGGTAGCAAATATAAAGCCATCGAATAATTTGGCGACATCATCAATCACAGATCATGTGTCGGACAGAGAAATTCATGTGATCGAAATTTTTTCAAAGTGTCATCCAAAAATGATTGGCTTTTCTTGTATGCGTGACTGTTTCTGCTGGACTATTACTGATAAATATAATCGTAATGGTTAAACTATGAATTAGTATAAAATGGATACGCACCGTTCTCTTGAACAATATAATATGAATGTAAATGAAGTAAATTTGTTTATTATTATTGATAATACAACCTTATCAACAATGAGTAATCAATTTGCCAATCGACCACGCATTTTAATTAAGATGTTTATAAATTACCGAAGGAATTATAATGGTCTACCCACTGATAAACGAGTCGATTTGATTCCACTTGACATAACAAATGAGACACATGATTTATATTATGCCGAGGTAACTATTTGCTTATTATCAACTTCGCTGATATAAATATTGGGGCAAGTCTATTTAAGTCTTACATTAAATGTAAGTATGAGACATTTTTGGTGACATAATAGAAAACTCAGACTCGATTATAGTTTACTGCCGGTAATTCGAACACATAGAATCAACACCTCTCAAAGAAATTCTGAAAGAAATCATTCATTTTGACCAGCCGTAATCGGGGTGGTATTTATGTAATCGGGGTGGTATTTATGTAATCGGTAAACAATTACTCAAATAAAAAAACTATGCTACACAACCAAAATAACACCTGAAAATCTTATGCGGACTTATTTGGTCTTAGGAATCAGTCTGGCTTATTTTGTCGACCACACCGACATTAAGCCAGAAGTTATGAAACAGGCAAATCTTTCTCAAACCCACCTCGGGTCCCAAAACACGAACCGTGGTTCATGTTAAAAAACAACTACCACGCCTGCTAATTCAAACTACTAAACAAAATTATATCCTTGCTAGCAACTTCGCCCAGCGGACATTTCAAAAGCCGCTGAATTTGATGAACAAATTCCTCTCCGAAATCGCAAACGACATCCAAGATTTTTCACCCCAACCCCCAACTAACGAGACGAGAACAACATTTGCTACAATCATACCGAGCAAAAACTTCCGTATCCAAATATAAGTTAATTGGGGTTTACTACTTCATAATGTTCGAATAAATCGATAATTCTTTCTTAAGTCGATTAATTATAAATCCTAGAAAATGTACCGTTTTTAATTCTGTCGAAGGATCCAACAATACTTCTAAAAAAATATCCATGACTTCTTCGATATAACCATAACAGGCCGCGTACGCACTAAGAAGTATCCGATCCGCTATATAGCCTGAACGCCGATCATTTGTAAACAGTCAGTATTTATGTATCGATATTTATTCAAAAACCTCTGCGCCAGACTAACCGCCGTCCAGACACAACTACGTTTTCTTGGCCTTGTGGTAGTCTGTTGATTACTGCATAATTATTACCTTTCCGTGGTGAAGCTATCGTTGTACTGCTCTTCGAACTCCTTCTCTTATTTGGTTTTGCGCCAAATAGCAATGACATATTGACCAGCAGAACGTTTCTCAATATTAATAGAGCCTTCACAAAGTCAGTCACTGCGTCAATGTTTGACTTTTGGACAGGAATCTCAGACTCAACGAGAGGTAATACCAATGGACGTCACGCTCCGATTGCTAAATAACGAATTTTTTCTGGCGCTGTGGCTGTGTGGCGTGGTGGCGTAGAATGAATGCGTGTTATCGACGGTTCGGGAGAAAAGTTGATAACAATAATAATAATATTACAAACTAAGTTTTCAAATAATAAAATCATGTTACCATATGATTGGATATTCGTTAATTCGACTTTTGCGTTAATTCGACCGATGACCGCCGACCGCAAAGTGGTCGAATTATCGATCGACTGTAGTAGCATTTGTCGTCATGCCAGTGTTGTTGGAGCGAGTAGATGTAGATGGCATCTGACCCCATGTTTGGGGAAGAGGATAATGAGTTGCAGCTTGTAATCGGTTATATCATCGTTCCTTGTTGAAATCTGTAATGGATTGTGTATTTCCTCCCATGTAGACGTTGTTATTATTATCGAGAGGAATTGTATCAGATGGATAAATAACTTGACTTGGAGAATTTGACAGAGTGGAAAACAATATAAGTTTGTCTTCCTTTATATTACTGTGAAATCTGCCTCAAGTGAAGATCCTTCAGCATCGTATTGGAGGCTTTTGGGTAGTACTGCCTGCACAGAGAGGACGTTGTATCTCTGGTTCACTTTCTTGTAAAGCCTGCGGCATTTGTATTGCAATTCTAATGATGTTGTTGTTGTATCTTCTGCACGTTGTCCTGTTTAATCACAGGCTTTTCCTTCCCATCTCCTAGCTGATGCAAATGCCTGCCATGTAATTCATAACACATGCAGCAAATGTATTGTGGTCGTTGAGAACTGCCTTCTGTCATTTCCTGGGAACACTTCTAATCGCTGGGCAATATTCTGGTTTTCAACAAAACGCATGGTGTTAACGATTCACTTGTTTCCCCAGTTGCGGATATTAATATATCTTCGTTTATAAGCGCATCGGTATTATAATGTTGCGCTTCATGCATGATTTCGAAGATGAAAACAGTGAGAACTGATAGTTATGTTCTGGCCCAAATTCAATCGGGCCGGCCCAGTTCGAAATAAGCACAGTTTATTTCGCTATTATCACATAAACAATGTTGATTAGATGTCGCTTATTGGTTGTGATATTAGACAATGTGCTTATTGCGAATCGGGCTGAATTGCGCAACGGTGATAATAATTGTGGTGGAACGGATTAAAACGAAATTTTGGGGTCTTTTGGGTTTCCTTTTAATGCCTTGAAACCCACTTATACTCTTTTACTAACAAATGGTATCCTAAATTCTAAGCAGACTCCGAAGGAGAATTAGATATTTGAGAATAATATGCCAAGCAACGAAACAAAATCAGTCCCTTCTGTTTCATTTATAAAGTAAGTATTTAGGCATTATACTGTAGCTATGTTAGGACTGCGATTAAAAATAATACATTTCCATCTCCATATTCCTGACATTTAACGCGCACTTTCTCGAATAGTAATAATGATAATAGGGACTATCTTACCACAACGTTTCCCGCCTAGTATATTATTGGATTTTGTCAGGAGATCCGATGATAGCATGCGGAGATGGATGGGTGGGAATGAGATATAAGGGTATGAAAAATGCATGCTGACACGGAGGCAAATAGTTGCAATACGTGAAGTATTGCGCAGGTACTGTGGTTGGCGTCCCATTCACGTCTGTTGGTAGAATACAGCGAAGTTATTGCGAACTTGAAGGAGCCGAATTCAATGAAGAATGTGAATTATAAGGATACATATAGCAACGTGTATAGAGGGATTACAAACTATGGGTTCCATGACATGATAGGGGCGGCTATTATTTGACAGTCTATTGCGTATTTACGCATTTGTTAACTGCAAATGACAACTTTCCAGGTGCATTTCGATTATCGACAATTCAGGTATTTAGTGCAGATGACCTTGTGTGATGATGCCATATTAAACTTTTATTCTTTCGCAGGCGTGATTAACAACAATCGCCAATTACCAAGCAATTATTAATGTAAAGGAATATCTGATGTACATTTACTCTGTCAATTACCGCTACCTCATCTTACTGACGTGTTATTTTACTACACAGGACGTAATTGAATGACTATTCCTACCGAGCCATAAGATTCTCATATAATTGAGCCTACTCTGATGAATCTAAAAGGAGCGATCAAGTTTTCCTCTGACAGTACAAAGCCCATTGTGTGCGGTGTACGAGAAAGAAATTGCTTTATACCTTCTCAACACGGAATTGGACATTGGGGAAAAGGGATCTTTCGGACATTTGCGATAAATTTACGAATTGCCTACAAAGCATATATCACCCATGGAATCAGGTGAAAACTCGCTACTCGGAGACCATTTTATATGTGTGGAAAATGTGAGTATAACTGTATTAGATTAATCTCTTACAAACGCATTTACCTAATCCTAATTGGAAAATACGCTGTATTAACGATCAATTTATTTCTTAGTGGAAAGTAGCATCGCTCTGTTTGATATCTAAATGTGAACTGATAACTTACATTTGATGCCCGGAGGATGTTTTCTTTCCTAAATGTTACAAAGAACCGGCCGTGTTTGCCCTTTCTCATAGCAAAAAAAGCTAGCAGCATGGACCTCAGAAGGAGCACTTACAATCTTTCCATGTGAAGGTGGTACCGTACTTTCCTGCAAAGGACACCAAATCTGTGGGCGAGACAAACATAATATGGATTAGGGGGGACCAATTTGTTTTACACAACTGATGGGATGCAAATACGGGACGTTCACACTTGTGCGGCCATTACTGAGGATTATGTAGATATAGAGCCAAATTCAGTATTCCAACTAACGGGCACCGGTTCGTACTCCAAACTATAGCAAGCAGTTGCCACCAATCAGCAAAGCCGATGTACCTACTTTACCTGACGATAAGCTGTCGCCACCGGGAATGCTCGGGCCAGGAGGCTGGGTAGAAGCAGAGGATTCTGACTATCACACTGAAGTTGATAGTGACGAATGAAGATGTGGTGAAAATCAAACTGAATCAGGGTTGTATGAACTTGATGCTCATCTTGCTACTTTTCTTGGATACGGGTCAGTGGAAGTAGAAACGAGAAGAACTGCGCATGCTCCAAATTCGATGATAATGTCTATGTCACGCCTAATTGTGTCAGTAAATTTTCAAATGGCAGGAATTGGGTTCAATCAAATCTTTCTGTTACCATTGTCGATGCCTCTGAGAATGAAATTGCCAAAATAATAACGGCAACTGAAAAAACGAAAACGTACATTATGTTCCCGTGTCTGGATCGAGTGACAAGATTATTTTCCGTGGTTGGTTCCTACGAACTGCGTGTCAGCGAGCTGTTTACAGAGAATCGGATTGGAAAGATAAAGGACTTTGATAAATGGGAGAAAATTATGAGTCTTAATGGTAGTGATCACGAGAGCGAAATTCACTTAGAAGCTCAGTTCATCCCAATGGCTTGTCTGACATTTGACAAGAACCTTACTTTCAGCGAGCAGAACATAGAGATCCACCACCTGTACGCAATCATTTTGTGGAAGCGTCCTGATAATTCGCATGAGCTTGATGATAGATTAGCTTGAATTTCCGATTTTGGAAATCATCAGGAATTGTTGACGAACTTTTAAAAATTGGCATGGTCAAGTTGCTGACAGTCAGATTTATGATAACCAAATTTTTAAGCATGATGAGGATAATCGTATATTGGCCACTGCTCTTGTGATCGCAACCCGGTAAATGGACATTACTATTTTCTGTAGTGCTTGTATTATAGACTGTTATCCGTTGAATTAATTATTTTTCTTTCTTGTTTCCATCAGAACCCGTTACCAAGTTACTCACTTTTCAGTCCGAAACAGGCTCGCTTTTTCTCACCGATAGAATCGCCACTTTTTACGGATTTAAGACATTGAAAGAACATTTTGGCGACTCTTTTGCAAGCAAAGTCAACCAGAAAGTCAAAGTTTCTGCTATTACCGCAATATATTTGAAAACTGGTGGCTGTTGATTACAGGAACACCTGGGATAAAACATTATGAAAAGTTGTCCGCCTGGTTGAATGTTAAACTGGGGAACGCTCAAATAGAAGCTGATGTTTTCAGAAGGGCCAAGAAGTTTGTTCTCGAAAATTCCCAACTATTGCGAAAACGCTTGAAACTCGGTTCACTATTTCCAAAATGAGAATCACCAGAGCTCACATTGAAACTACCTACAAGAACCAGCACGAAACTGGTTCTTTCTTTATTAACAAAGAACTTGCATCTTCTCTTGGCTTCGACGGCGAAGATCGTTTCCGCTCAACGATTTTTCAATGGCGTATGAATATTAACACTTATGATAGAGTGGAGAAAGTGACTATTCTCGTGAATGTTCAGCGTCATACGCATGATTCAGGTGGTTTTATTAAATTTGAGTGCTTATCTTATTATTATGCCCTTCAGCTTACATTATTTGAACATCCACCCAAATAGAAAAGCTCTACATAATTGAGTGATTATTATATCCAATTCATGAAATATTACTTTTGATGGCATGTGCGCGCGAGAGGCAATAACCGCAGAGATTTTTACATAGTAGTCCCGAGGACATCATAACGACGAATTTGGTTGACGTTTGAAAACGGTAGTGGATCAATCAAACGCGCGCATCGATATGGACGATCAGGACTAGGACGAGTAGAGGTCTTTCGGTATCAGCAGGAAGGCAGAAAGCGATTACGAAGAACCATCGTAAAAATACACATCATGCTTATATAGTACCTGTTCCTATACGCAAATTTGATACTCGACCATCACATGAAGTAGAGGAATACGAGGATGATGCAACCGAAAAAGTCAGTTTCATGCACCCGACCAAATGAATAAAATATATTACAATCAACACTCTTTATTAAATGATACCCCTGATCTGAAAAGCATGTGCCCATGCGCTGCTTCTCTAATCAATGCAAAAGATCTAGTTGAATCAATTGGAGAAAGCGTGGGGTCTACATTAGCGAACTTAATAATATTTAATTCAGCATCAACCCATACTAATACATATACAGTGTTAAATTTGATTTATCTATATTTAATAAGAAACTTCGCTTTTGCTTTTCGCCTTCCTTGTTCGCCATTGTAAATTGACAGGCATTTGAATTGGTGGGTTGTTCGCCTCCGGGTAAGATAATTGACGGTAATATCATTCAGTTCGCTCATTGTGTCGATGGAATTAGAAGTGAAAGTGTCGTCGCCAGGCTTTTTTTTTGGCCAGGGGGGTTTTTTTTCGCGTCGCCAAGTCGTAATTAAGAGTTTGTGTTTGCTCGCAGTCGTAGTATGCCACCAAGCAATTAAAAAAAGTAATAGTAATAGTAATTACTATGCTTCTTCCAACTGTGGCTTGCACATCCAGACCTATATTAATATCAATAGTTAATTAATATTAATATTTATATCATTTTATTAAAGCAAATGCTGATACAGATACGATAATAATAGCAATAACTTGAAACTTACATTCTCAACAAATCTTCATTAATATCTAACCCGTCTATATTGGCATTGCTGATGTTGTTAAGTCCAGGACACCAGACGCCATTGGATCTGTTACAGACAAATCTGCAGTTCCAGATACAACTCAACTGCTCTGAATTGTTATCGTCGCAGTTGATTAGACTCTTCTTCGTTCTAGAAATAATAATATTATTATTATTTGTTATCATAACCGTCATCGAACCATTTTTACTTACGCATTGGAAATAGTTCCTGATATGCTTATGCTTTCCCACTATAAGTCTGTCATTTATCGCCTCCCCATTCTCATGCCCCTATAAAAATTATACTTCAATCGATTGTATGATAACACAAAATGCAACTGATATACTTGATAAAAACTCACTCATTCCCATCTCCTTTCCACTGAGATACGTGGCTACCGTTATAAGTATACCACCAATGCCGAGCAGAATCTTGTATAAAATTGCCGCCTGAATAATGAAAGTAAATTTATTTTGGTCATTAGGAAATGTTATAGTAGTAATAAAGAGTTTTGAATGTGTATCCTTCGATGTCTACAGAGCTTGTATCCTTTATTCCGCAGCCTAGGACATGCATGACGCACGTTCGGATTAAAGTACTGACATGGGCCCATGTCAGCCAACTATCACGCTCGGCATCATTGTTTACAATAAAATAATAGTTGACGCAATACTAATACTCACCTTAAAGTTCTTAATACAATTTCAAGTTTTTTTATTTCTTTCATGTTCCCGCTTTTAAAGCTTTTTATTATTATTATTATGGCATCCTCAAGCTGAGTTCGGTATGCCTTCGCTGCTGCTTGTGTCAAGTTCGCCAAGGAGATGAGATAAATCATCGCTGATGCTGATGTGCTGATGCTGAAACTTTTCATTGGTGATCTTAAATCCCATTGATTGTGTAATGTTTTATTGTTACACCGAGATTTTCACTTAAGTGAGATTTCTGTATCAGATAGTAATAATAATAGACTTTACAAACGTTATTTAATCACCTATTGAACAGACGAGACAGACCCGGCTTTACGGCACCGTGTGGGAAGGAATGAAACAATCGAAAGATTTGGGCTGAATTTGCAGTAAGGCATTTGATAGAAACGAGAAAGAAACGCGCAAATATCTGTGACTTGTTGCTTATTACTCTTCGCGTTAACAGGTGTTGGAAGAAGACTTTCCCGTTGAAATCATTTCCATTAGTCGAAAGCAGGTCGGTTTGAAATTTGACTTGTGTCAATAATAATAATGGACTTTAATCTAAACGAAGTTCCTTTTTTATGCCTAAAATTTTGCAGTGAATGGGATTGATGAAGAAAACGTTGACAAAGCGTAGGGTAAATATGCTTATAATGTGCGATTTCATAATACCAGCACTAGCATTTATTTGTCGCATGCAATTTAGACGAGGGAAATTGATAAAATTATTGGTTGTTAAGGTAATAGAGGGACTTATATATGCAAACGTTTTTCCTCCATTTCCAACACGAAAACTGTCGAAAGGGATTTAATATGGGAAGAAGAGGCTCCTTCTGGCTTATGTATATAATACTCTGTCCATATTTGCTCATTGATTAAATTAGCCCAAGTCATTTAACATTAATTCTTTGTCCTTTTTTCAGATAATTTGATGACTGGAGACAAGAGACGTGACATCAAACGGAAGCCATGGGGAAGCTTAGAATGCTGGAAATGATTGTGGTAATATATTAATCTGCAGTCATCATATCCAGTATAATACTTAAATTGTGACATAATATGGCATTTTAAAAACATCTAGGTCCGCTCCGCCCTCGTTCTAACACCTCCTATATGTCGCTCGTGCAATGTCCTGACGCGAGCGTTTGTTGATTATTTTCGTTCCACCTAGGCAGCACTAACTTTCAAAAATTTGATCAAGAACGTGAAAAGAGATTCCTTTCTCTTAATAACAGCCGTCAAACATTCGTCTACTGGAAATTACGTTTTAACGAAAACCGTCAAGATTTGTGGAACAGAAAAAACCCTCTTCGCGACCACCGGTTCTTTCCAATCGTCAGCCCGTCTTTTTCCACCTCAATCAATCATCGGCATCTCTTCAATCCTCAACCCTCGGCGGCATCTCCCAAAATCACCTTTTCATTTCGATGATGACTACGATACCGGGGTCCGCCTGACAGATGAGCAAAAGTCGGCTCAAAAACAGCGGTTAGCTCGGCAGGATTCTCGAATGAAATTTCGGCTACAATTGAGGCAATCGGGTCCACTTGCAAAGGCTGTTGCTGTTCGGTCAAACTTGGTGGCGATAGAATCTGGGACGAGTCGGGTCAACAAGTCCTTTTTCAAAGCAAAATTTGTGTCCTTCCATGCGCTCGTGGCATGCCTGAAACTGAATATTTGTAGTTCCGGACGACTGCCTGATGACCTTAGTTGCGAAGACGTCCCAACTCGTAATACTTACGAGACCAGAATTCCTGCTGATTCACTGGACGAGAGGTTGGGTGATCCTTTCAGCATTGGTCCTGGTCAATTGTACGTTTATATTTGATTTAAGTTGTAACGTGGTTTTGCGCAATGAAATCAATTAACTAATACACTTTATAATGATATTTGCGTTATTACTACAGATCAGACTGTGTTCACTCTTGAAAGGAAAAATTCGATTTTTAGAAGGTAACTAGATGTCCATGTATTATCGAACATCGTCACTGAGTTTATGTTGCTGTAACCACTGATTACTCAAACTTTTCGATTGCACAATTTAGTCTCGGAAAAACTGTCAGGAAGTTCCCCCAGGATATATAACGGACATCGAACCAAATAGTTCGAGAAGCGTCTTCAACTGCTTTCGGGACAAAGCGTAAAACACCTTGAGTGGCTAGCTCCCGCCACACAGCCGCACAGCCCGCGGCTGGTCTGTATCAATTTTTTCAGATGGATATTGGGAATATTACGAATAAACGGCTTGAAGTATTGTAGCACATATATTCCATGACGTGTAAGTGAGCGAAAGAGATTTTTATTGATGTATACTACTTATCTGCTTAACCAAAGTAACGTCGCAAAGTCTAACCCATGTATTCTAATAGGGCAGATGACGATCATAAATTAGTCGAATACCTTGGCGGGACGTCGCACCACAATAGTGCAGAACGTTTTGAAAGCATGCTCGCGCGCGGAACGTCAAACGTGACGACTGCGAAACGTCATAAATGTTAAAAACTGGGTAGCTTACTCCTGGGAGAGAGTAGCGGATGTGGACTGGAATGTTCTTATGGGTAATTATAAAAAATCCAAAACTTGTGAGTTTTCCCTTTCAGCACAACTTTATAACAACTGTTTATTATTTATAATATCTTTCTCACACATACACGCAGACTAGATAGACGTCGGTCGATTTAAACCATTCAACACATTTCCATTCTTTATGTCAAGTCGATTTACAAACGAATAATGCAAAAGCCAATGGACGTAGCTACGGAATGTTCTGAGAACGTTCAATTTCAGTTATAATATAAGCAACAATATCCTAACCTACGTTATTACCAGTTTTCCTCCGATGAGACGATACGTTACAAGCTGATCATATTATAACAACGTATCACGCACATGTCCGCAATGAATATCATTGGAAAAGACTTCATACCACGACATTAGAGAAGATTTCGCACCAACTGACATGCGTACTACGAGAGAAGAATAAGATCGGGGCTTTAAGCATATTCATAATACTTTCTAGGGCTGCATATAATTCGGAATCAATTTCAGTTGAACATCCTACGAAGGAATCTTCAAAAGATATGGCAACATGTGCTACACAGACGCGCATGTTATCTGTCAGGAACCGGAAAAGAAAAAGATAAGCAAGAGCCAATACAATGGCTCGAGAGTCTGTTTGACAAGAACAAATGATTCATTTGGCGCGCGATCGGACAGATATATGGTGACGCGTGATTACCATGGATCTTAATGATTTCTGTAAACAATAAAGAAGAATTTGACGTGATTAGTCAAATTTACAGGTATGTAAAAATAATAATGATTTTTACACGTATATTGTCTCCATCCATATGAATTGATCATCATACGTTCACATATAACTATTTCAGCAGAATTTATTTGAAAATATGGTTTGTCAAGACATGTACACCGTCGGTCGGAAAGCACGTTCCGGATATGTATAAAGCCGGAAGCTTGGTCCGCAGGGCATGTTTTCTTGCCAGTTACTTGGAAATAATAATAAAAGAAGACAGATTTATAGAGAGGCTTTACTAAAGGTATGTAACGCTCTTTATAACTAAAACCTGTCTAGCAGCTTTTTACTAATGAAGTGGTTTTTGGTTGTTGTGTTGGGTCAGACGGGAAGTAATAGACTCGCAGCATTTGAGTGTTATGTGTGGTACGATGGCAGAATGTTGGAGGAATACTCCCGTTTGTATTTGCTTTACACATAACATGCATTGGAGAGCCTGTTTGAAGACGTGAATTTACGGTGTAGTATATAGTAAGTACGAAGAGAGCCAAGATCATTCGAGCATCCCATGTTGGTTCAAGTTCGAGTTTGGTACTAATTTACAATTTGATTATCGAGTTTATTTCTCGAAAGTGGTAATTTAATTGCTTTTATTGGTCAGATAAATTGTCATTCATCGTAAACAATAAAAATTGGTTGACCTCGATTTTTAAACCATCTCAAGTACATTGATGAATTGGCGATTTCTCCTTCTGTTAAATAGCTTGTCACCACGAAAATAGTAGTCGTCTTCAAGTACGGATTATTTACCACAATAAGCTGGCCTTTTACGATGTTCTTTATCCTGTTGATTCAAGTGCTTAAACGCGGTTCGGCAGATCAAGAACGCATGCGGAAAGACAATTGAAATCGA